GTGGCAGTTGCTCATTAAGGCATGAGTGTCTAAGTGCGTGCACGTTCGCTTGCGGGTCGATCTGCACTTCTGTCCCCCCCCATGTCGCTGCAAGCAATATTCTGCACATATTTTATGAGTAGTTTAAAATAAACGCGAGAAAAGATTTATCATCCCAAAATAAGACGATAACCTTGGCTGCTTTTCATCATTCGACATCTTCTGCGTATTTCGCGTTAAAAATGTTCATCCTTCGACTGTTTTGGAACTGACGGCCTGCCCTCATTGAACCGTGTTTAATTAAAATTGCCACTCATAGAAAAAAAAGCTGCCTTGTACACGTGAGACCGTGCGAGCACTTAAGTACAATGCGCCCGATAATCGAAAGTTTCTGAACAACCTTTTGGGTCGCAATAAAAATAATGAAATAAATTAATCAAGTTTGGCATTGACATATTCCTATTATGCTGCGGTTTTTGAGTGCAACTGTGGTGTCCTTAATTGTGTTAGAGTAAAAAAAAAAGCCTAAAATGGTTTCACTCTTTTTCTTTCAGCGTCGATTCTTCATTAATTGACTGTTCAGAATCATGTTACTGGTTACTGGTTACTTTTACTAAAAATTCAGTGTTTTTTTTTTTTTTTTTTTTTCACGCCAAACTTCACTCAAAAATGCCTGAAAACATTGCGGGGCATCAATAACGTGATGGCACCCAAAATATGTGAAACAGTTAGACCTGCAGGTCCACTACTTTTTTTCTCCCCAGCCTGTACACGCTTTCGTCATTTACCGTCAAGCATCAAGCAACAAATCAAACTGTCGGTACAGCTGAAAGAATTAGAATGAACAGAACGTCCTCATTTTTTTTGCCGTCTTGGATTGTCAGCATCTAACGGGCGGATTCAATGCGACGGTATTGACACGCTTCCATCACATGATGCCATCTGGGAGAGTCGGCCGCGGCATTTCCCACTTTAATCACCAGTGTGGAGACCGAATATAGCGTCTTTCTCAGACAGCACTTTCTGTTTATAGCAAATAACATGTATAGTAACGTGCACCGCATAATCTCAGGTTCACTTGGGTCACGAATTGCATTTATTTATTTTTTTGGATGTGCATGCATGTCTGCGGTTGATGTGAGGAACAAAGCCTGGCTGAGTGGGGTTTAGGTTGCGTTTGTTTAGCTCGTCGCCGCGTCTCACGCAGCCCTCCTTTGACATATTTCGTCAGTTCACGCGCGGCGTTTTCGCATTCATCGTTCGGCATTTGGGCTCTGCGCTACAGGGGAGTCAGACCAGCAGAGGGGGGGGGGGGGGGGGGGGGGGGGGGGGTGGCAACGGGAGGATGTAACGGTGACAGATGGAAAGGGAATGTTGGGATCAGGATAAAACAAAGACGGAAACAGAGGGCAGGAAGGGGAGGAGGGGAGGCAAAAAAGCAAACGGACAGGAATAAGGTTTACGTTAGCGGCTGGCCTCTCAGATGATTTTCCATATCAGCGGGCCAGAGGAAGCGGGCAAGTACGATTTTTCTCCTCAACTCGCCAGCGTAAAACAGACTGAGCGGGCAGGGAGGGAAGTGACAGGAAAGAAGGAACGGTGGGGGGGGGGGTCAAAACAAGGAAAATGGACGGAGATAAGTAAATGGAAAAAAGCTGGCGACCTGGGGGAAGGAGGG